TTATATACCTAGTCTAGGCTAATTCGTGTGTGTGTGTGTGTGTGTGTGTGTGTGTGTGTTTTAGTTAAATGGTGATAGGTGGCAGACTCTCTTGAACTTGAATTCAACTGATGATCTCTGAAATTATTTTCACTTTGGGAGGAAATCATAAACAGATTTGTAAACAAAGCCTAAAGAAGTTATGTAGCTTTTTGTTTTCATTATTTAATAAGATTTTTAGGAAGTAGAGCATGTGTAATATGGGAGCTTTTCTATTCTAGTAGTATTTGGAGTAATGAGTATCCAGTTACAACATATAACAGAGTGAAATTTTACAAGTAAGGAGTAGACTATGTATTTGACTTTCTTAAATTTACAGATAGTGAAGGCTCCAGTTTGGTCCAACATGATTATATCCTAGCTACCATCCAGACATCCCAATTTACTTGGTCTTGATCATTGCTCTGTACGTGTGCAGAACTTCCTTCATAGTGAGGCTCTTCTTCCTAGCCTGGTACTGATGCCGACCAGTCTGAGGCTGTATACTCCCTTAAACCTGAATTCTTGTATTTCTGTTTCAGTAGGAGAGGTTAGCCAAGCATGATGGCATGGGTCTGTAGTTCCAACTATTTGGAAGACTGAGGCAGTACTTGAGTCTAGCACTGGCGTCCTCAAACTACAGCTCGTGGGCGACATGTGGCCTGCTTAGGACATTTATTTGGCCACCGGGTTTTTTGCCACCACTGCCTGTCCTGCTAAGCAGCTGACTCATCCCGGGGCTCACAGTCTGGCCCTCCAACGGTCTGAGGGACGGTGAACTGGCCCCCTGTTTAAAAAGTTTAAGGACCTCTGGTCTGGCAGTTCAAGTTCAATGTGGGTAGCACAGGTCTTTAAAGAGAAGCCATCTCTTTTAAAAAAAACCAAAAACAGACAGTAGGTTATAATTAGTTGCAGTGTTACTTTTAGGTATTTGGGAACATAGCTTTTCGTGCTGTTCATTAACAAGGTAGATTATCATTGCATTAAAAACCTTTATTTTAAAAAAGGCATATTATGTTCTTTTGTTTATTTAAAAATTCGAGTAACTTTCCACCACCTTAAAATTTTTTTTAATGACATATGATATTAGTATATGTTTATGGGGTTTGTGTGACGTTTTGTTACTTGCATAGAATGTGTGATGATAAAGTGAGGATATTTAGGGTATTCATCACCTGAGTATTTACCATTCTGTGTGCTGGGACCAAGTTCAGTCTTCTTCCTTAGCTGTTTTGAAATACATTGCTGTTAACTATAGTCTCCTACTGTGCTGCCAAACTTTAGAACATTTTCTTTTATATTTCTATCCGGATTAATAGATTTTCCAGGGCAGAGTGATTCTGTCCCAGAGCGATCTAAAAATAGACTGAATTTAACACTTCAGGTAGGCAGCCTTTCATTAGTCAGCGTGTGATTGCTTAAACTCTCAAAAGGATTAGGTTTAATAAAGGCATATTATGTTCTTGAGTTATTCATATCTTTATTTTCTGAAATCTACACTTTCATTTTAGGAATCTTTAGCAATTTCACTTGGCATTTCAGAAACAAAATAAAATGCTAAAGAGATGGCAAGATATCAGCTGTGGCCATGCTTTAGGAAAGTAATGGTAGTACGAATATATCGATTCTGTATCAACTTGTGTGCCACCATTGCCCGGTACAGAGGCACCGGGGAGGCGCTGATTTAGAGCTCTGTGCATGCCTGTAATTAGAAGGAGATATTAAAAGATTTGTGATATTATCTATAAAGGTTTTGGCCATAGAAGAAAAACATAAAATAGTATGAAATATGATTTGTCAATAATTACAGTTTTATTTCTTGTGATGAAATACCTATAGATTATTGGGAGGAGCATGGTATTTAAAATGGAGAAATGGTTTTTCCTCCACATCTTTGAAATGTCTGTGAAACGTGACCTCACATCTCAGCTGTATACCCTTCAGATAACTAAATTGTATCCAGTTTCACGTGTGGCATGTATGGTTGCCCTGAATTTGTAGGCCAGATTCTGTTTGGCCTTTTATGTAAGTGTGGTAGATCCTCAATTCTGCACTTTTGTAGAGAGAATAAAATTATTCAAATTCACTAGTGTATTTCCTGTGAGAATGAAGTTAGCCGTTTTTAAATCTGAAAGATTCTGTTAGGGAGTAGCGAGGCTGAGCAGCAGATACTGCTTGAGGATTCTCTGAGGATTCTGCTAGACACGAGTATAAGACAGACTTTGAAGATACATCTAATTTTCGGTAATACTAAATAAGTGGATTAGTCTTAATTTAAATTAAATAATCCCTAAATTGAGTAGCCAAAAGCAACCTCTCCTTTAGCTTCTTGTTTACAGTTGCAAGTAATTATTGTTAATACAATTACTAGTTTGTGACTAAATGCTCCCCACTGTATGCTTGCCTTGCTTTCACCTAAAATCTAGGGCCATTACTTTCTGTGACCATTTCAGTGAGCTGCCATAGTTCTCAGTCTGTACTGTCACCTGATCCAAGCATGCGCCCAAATACCCACTGTCTCTGGCTCCTGTATGCTGAATCTGCTTTGCAAGCCCTTGGTGCTTTGAGCTTCTGCTTCAGCCAAAAATCAGATTTAAGAAATTCTCTGGAGTGTGGACATGCCATTTGCTTCCTTAGCTCCCATGCTATGTAATCCTTTAGTTTTTTCTTAAACTTGTATATACTTTATTAAATACAATGATGGTATTTCCATGTGCAGTTGTGTGGCTCATGTGTCAAAATAAAGGCTGCTTGTGAATTTGTCAGAAGAATATGAATGCTCCACTTGCTGCATTCAGCTTTTTGTTTTTTTATATCAGCCACATATTCTTTCATAGTGCTTGGTTTAATTATTTGATTATTTTATGTGTTATACTAAGGTAAGTTTGATGTAAATAAATTTCGTATTCTGTGTGGTGATGCCTATCTTGTAGGAATTGTGATTACCAATATCTCATAGGAATTATTACATACTTACATGCTGCCATTTCTAAATAAACATATCGAGGGCTTAAGTAGCTTCCTCTGTTGTTTATTAATTTTAAAAACAGTGTTATGGATTACTTCCTGTAAAAGTCATTTTTACAACGATAAAGCTACCATGTATTACTCGTGCTGATAATAGGCAAACCCAGTGTGAGAAAATCTGTAACAGAGTCTACTAGTGAGTTAAGAAGAGTTACACTTTTTATTTCATGTTAATTTGTCAGGAAAATAATTATTTTCTAAGCTGAGAAACATTTCTATTGTTTGTGGTATCTGTTTATTAAGAATGATAAATAATTTGATAGATTAGAGTAACCCATTGAATCATAGTTTGTCTTTTGATACAAAAATTCCCTTTTAGAGAAAGGATCCTGTTAAATGGCTGTTCATATCAGTCCTTAGCATGTATGTCTTCGAAGAGAAAGAGAGCATAGATTTGAAAGTGTATTTGTGCTGTTAATGTATACATTTCAGTTGGGAATAGAAGGCATTTTTAAATATATCTTATATGTAAAATGGGGCCACCTAATGGTTTTACACGTTTCTTAATTCATAATATTGATCACTAACACCATTGGTAGTCTTTTCTATTTCTCTTCCTTCTTTATTTTCTCTTACACTTTGCTCTTTTCCTTGGTTTCCTGAAGTCTGTATTTCTTTTTTTTTTCTTCTGAAAGCCAGTTTTAGGGTAGCTCTCTCTTGGATCCAAAACTTTAATTCAAGACCTGACTGGCATGATTTGTAGTTCTGGCCTTTATCTCCTTTCTCCCTCTTGGTGATTTCCTCCCTGTGGAGGAAGCAAATTCACAAGCCTCTTAACCTTTCTTTACTTTGCTGTCTTCACTGTTTTACTAGTGAGTATGATTCTACTTATTCTATTATTTTGAAAAACATTTTCAACATTGGGTATATATTGCAACTCGAAAATAATGTTCGGATTATTTGGTTTTTAGTATTAATAACACCTTTCATGTGGAAAATTTACAATAAGAGCCTATCATCCTATTTAGAATTTATTTTTTATCTATCTCAAATTGTTCCCTCAAGTGGGAATAGGCCACAAAAAGAAAGAAATCAGGAAATGCTAATTACGGACTGTTTCCGTTTTTAACATGTTGTCTATTAAAAGTTACTCTAATTTGCAGCTGCTGTCACCAGTAGTTTGCAGCTAAGTGTAAGTGATTAGTAGTTTGTGTGACAGATGCCCCATTTATAAGACTCCATGACAAGCAATAGCGGACTTCCCTAGGGTAATAAAATACAATTCTGTGATTCTAAGCCATTTTTAAAATTACAGAGCCATACGTGGAGTATTATATCTGTAATTTGTCCTTATATACCTTAAACAAATTATTTGTATTAATCTTTTAAGTGTTTTCCTTTCTTCTCCCCCTCTCTCGCCTCCCTCTCTCCTCCTTTCCTTCCATTCTTTCTCACCCTCTTCCCTTCCCCTTCCCGCTTCTCTTTCTTTCCAGTTAGCTAGTCCCTTTATTTCTTAGTATGCCCACACCCCTGTAGAAGGATGGCTACAAATGGCTTTCTCTCTTTTAAAATTGACAGATCTTTGCCTTGGAAAGAATCCAGAATATAGTGGGTTCTATAGAATAGGTGCCAGGAAATGAAACCAAAATTTAAATTCATGGTTATGGCACATAAGGTGTTCACGGAGGTGAGACATAGGATCCCCTCTCAGTTAAGGTTGAAAATCTGGAAACTCTGGGTCTACATTTTAAATTCTATCTAAAAATACATTTCCGTAGATGTCCCTTAAAGTAATAGTGCAAATAGAGCTAGGTGGTTTGTTTTCCAGTAATCAAGTTTAAAAGGATAAATCTTATGCTTTTGGAGAAGTATCACTTTAATGATGGGAAATTTGAAAATCTGCCGTAGTGCAAAACTTCTTTACCTCTCTCATAGTATATTTACTGTTAAACATTTTTTGTTCATATAAACAATGTGCTATTGAGTAATAAACTGATTTAAAATTTATTTTTCAGATGAACCAGAAACTCGAGATGCATGGTGGGCAGAAATCAGACAAGAAATAAAATCACATGCTAAAGCATTAGGCTGTCACGCTGTAGTGGGCTACAGTGAATCAACTAGCATCTGGTAAATGATGAAAGCTCCTTGATTTTCTAGATGCCCTGAGTTAAATTGTCATCTGAAAGGGGGAAAGTTTCATGCATATATAACGAAAGGAGAACAGTGGAGTGGTCACTCTCCAGTCTCTGAGCCTCAGTTAATACATTAAAATGGAGACAATACCAGTGATCATGTAATCATTTAAACCCGGATTGAATGAGAATGTAACACTGGCCCATAGCAAATATTAGCTGGAGGTCTATTTTACTTTAGTTTATGACTGCTAAGTCTTTCCACTGGTGGAGGTTCCTCGGAACCTTTTATCTGTCATGAATGAATTGCTATGTGCCTTTGAGGTTTGAAATTCCTTCTGGTTCTTCTGAGTGTAATCATCCACTCATCCTTTCCATGTCTGCCAGGTTAGGAAGGGGCTTTCATACCCGTGCTTCTCGATTCCCTTTTCTCCTGTCTTTCATTTGAACAACTTCTTGTTTCCAGTCAATGCCTTGGAGACATTCTTCTGCCTTTTCTTACTTACTCTGTCCTGTCTCCTCTGGGTAGATTTGATCATCTTCCTTCTTGGCCTGCATTTTAGTCTTTCATTCTCCAGTCCTCTACTCGCTCGGCTTTCAGTGAGATTTGGACCTCATTGTCACTCGAAACTATGTATGTTAAAATTGGAAAGCTATAATATTTTACTGTCATATTACAGCTTAATATTTCTCCACCAGTATCATTTGTTCACTTACATTGGTTTGTTTGGACCCTTAGCTTAACCAAGTATTTTCCGAATTACTTACTTAGGTTCTGGCTTTACTTACTGTTTTGCCATCCTTGAACCTTAATTTCAGCCCTTTCAAAAGTTCCTAATTGATGCTGTCTAGAAACTGCTTGAACTTTTGCTATCTTATTTTTCTACCTTTGGTGCTTGGATAATTCTTACTGTTAGGTCTCTGCTCTTGTGGTGATCATTATTGTTAGAGAAGAAAAAATCATTAAACGGCAGTAAATAGGGCCACTATAGAGCCATGCTATTTAATTTGTTGTGGGCCTTTTCTTTTCCTTTGTAGACTATGTATTATATTCTTGAACTATTCTATTCTACTCTTTTTTTTTTTGGAAGACAGAGTCTTGTTCTGTCATTGTGGATCTGTCATCCCAGATGGAATGCAGTGGCATGATCATAGCTCCTTGCATCTTCAAACTCCTTGGTTCAAGTGATCCTCAGGCCGTGGTCTCCCCGAGTGCTAGAATCACACGCATGAGTCACCATGTCCAGCCTCTGTTCGGCTTTTATTAACCACTAACTTTGTCATGCTTAGCTTGCCTTACTCCCTGTTAGATCGTTTTGCCTCCTTCATGGATTTAGTGTCATATACTTTCAGGTCCCTTGGGGATATGGTTTTAAAAGATAATTCTCCCTATCAGATTTATATTTTGCGAGAGAATTAGAAGTCAATTCTGTGATTGTGATACATTACAATGCTTTGGGATCCCAGAGGACTTAAAAGCAGATGTAGGAGTGAAGGGAAGTGTCAGTGAAGTAACTGACCCATGAATTGAATCTTAAAGGACGAATATGAACAATATAAATATAGAGAAGAGGTGTGGGGAGAGTGTTCAAAGCTTAAAAGAAGCATGTGAAGGAGGCCACAGTGTGTACACTCAGCATGGCTGAAGATAAGGCACAGATGAAAGAGTCTACCAGTGAATCCAATTAATTTACTTAAAGTTTGAATTATCTGGTAGGTTACCCCCCCACTTCAAAAAAACTTTGTGTTTCTCATTTTAACCATGCTACTTTCTGTTACTGGGTTAAACTCTCTGAAATGTACTCCTGCCCTTCTAACGCTTGATTCGAAACTTCAGTGGCTCCACCGTATTCCTCCTGACACCCTTAGTGCCCGCTGACCTTTGAAGCCTGGTCCCCCTTGATTCACTAACAGTTTAAGTGACTATTTCT